ATATGGCAGTCCACAGCAATCGCTTGTTGTACCCGGACCCTCATCTGCATCATCCGCTGTAGCTGCTATTATACCAAAACAAGAAGCATATGCGGATACTACACCGACGCCACATCATATGCAACCTACACAAAGTGGCAGCCAGGGTAGCTACTCAGTAGTGCAACTTGCTGAATACAGTCCATCCACCAGTAAAGGGCATGAAATACTCTCACAGGTATATCAACAAAGCGCCATGCCACTAAAATTAGTGCCTGTTAAGCCACGTAAATATCCCAACCGCCCAAGTAAAACACCAGTACATGAGCGTCCCTATGCCTGCCCAGTGGAAAATTGCGACCGCCGTTTTTCCCGTTCCGACGAACTGACCCGCCATATACGCATACATACCGGTCAAAAACCTTTCCAATGTCGCATTTGTATGCGTTCCTTTAGTCGATCAGATCATTTAACAACACACATACGCACACACACCGGTGAAAAACCTTTCTCCTGCGATATTTGCGGACGTAAATTTGCGCGTTCCGATGAGAAGAAAAGGCATGCCAAAGTGCATCTGAAACAACGCATCAAGAAAGAATCTAAACTAAGTCAACAACAGCAGCAACAAGCAGCTGCTGCAGCGGCGGCGGCAGCACAACAGCAGCAACAACAACAACATCACCACCATCACCATCATCAACAGCAACAGGCAGCACATCATATGCTTCACTCAGCTGATATTTCCATAGTAACATCCAGTGCGACTAGTTTGTAGGTCGAGGAGAGTGACTCGTCAACAATTGATTCCTTTAGAGCTACGCCAATTCTGTTACAGGAATGGCATAGTGACCTAAGAACGTCTTATTCACCAACAACACCATTAGATGCAATGCCTACAGCAGAGCTTACCTTGCGACGTACAAGCGAGCCGGCCGTGACAACAACAACAACAACACGAACAGCATTTCCATTCGATGAAATCGAAATGGAAGATGCTATGCAAGAGTCCATGGAAGATTGTTATGGAACCGCAGAGGTGGCAACAAATACCACGCCACCTATAGATATATCAAGTGACTACGTTGCAATTGATGATTTGATTGTGACGAAAAGCAGTGTTGCCAACATTACCGTCGGTAATTTGCCAGTAGCCGTATTGCGTGGTATGGATGCAGAAGGCAGTGATAATCAGGAAATGTTAATACTATTCTTAACAGACTAAATGAGTTGTTAAGGGAGAGGGGGAGTGAAAACAATTTGTGAAAACAATAAATTCATTTAAAAAAATTTGAAATTGAATGGAAAATGAAATTTTAATTGAGAAAAAAATAATTTCAGCTGAGAGCAAAAATCTATGTTAAAGAAAAATTTGAGTTTTTGATAAAATCATGTTAGTTCATAAACATGCCGTGCAGATAGAAAAATATGTTTTAAAAAAATTTCTTTGTCTTGCTATGCTGATTTCTGCTGAGTCAGATACTCTTCTTGTGAAATATTATTACTCAGATGAGATGTAGAAGCAATTTTATATAAAAAATTTTGAGTGTATTTTACAAAACTATTACTAAATTTTTTTTATTAATCATTTCATAGTATTAAATATTAATATCTACTATATATTTATTTGTTTATGCATGCTCTTAATAACTTAACTTGTAAACCCTCAAGTCCCAGATGGGAGTGATCCCATCAAAATTAAGTGCAATGTTATGGACATTATGCAACTTCAGTGTCGAAGTTCTTCTTGTATAAAATACAAGATTTTCTACGTAAATACAGGGTGTGACATATTTATATTTGCATTAATCGCTTACCAACACTTTTTTATGTTGTCTGCCATATTTGCTAGTAAATTTGAATTAACTTCAGACTGGTTTGAGTTTTAATTGGCCAATTGGCTGTTGTGTAAAATTCATTGTTGACATTTCATTGTTGCTTTAAGTGTTTACTTATTAAATATATTGTCATTAAGTTTATGAATAATGAACAGCAATTTATTTAAAAATAAAAACATGAGAAAAATAATGCAAAACATTTAACAATTTTTAAAATTGTTTGGTAAACACTTGAGCGCGCTCCATTGAGCTGAGATTTTTATACAAGATAAGTTACAATAAAATTTAAAACTCAGCATAAACAAGCCAATCAGGTTACTGTTATTTAATATACATATGGAAAAAGTGCACTTCATTTTTTTAGATTTGGAGGTTTTCAAAGAGCTAGAAGAAATATTTTTTGCATCACAAATTATTTACACTACATTAAGAAGTATACATCTGCATTAGCATTAGTACTCACTTAAAAGCAGAAGTTTCTATAGTAAAATACACTTAAAATTATTATAATTAAAGAAAGCTTTACTCTTTATTTAATTTTAAAACAATAAAAAAATATGTTTTTTCCAATATCTTAAACAAGAAATTCTCCATCAAATCAGTTATGACCAGACACTTATCTTTAAATCACGAATTCTATCTACACGCATGTTTATTAACTTACTACAAGACAACGTGTATCTCAAATTAGTATTCAATTCGAAAAATAAATATTATATTAATAAATAAAGCTTAAAAAAAGATTGTTCAGAAACTCACAGGCCTAAAAGTATCCTCACTCGACTTGCTAAATCAATT